ATGGTTAACATGCGCACACAAATAAACATTTTACTTTGGAGCAGCTTACTGAGAAGGAAATTTTCAAAAAAGAAAAGAGAAAAATGAAACAGTAAAAATGATCTGCAACAAACTGCTATTATGTAAAGAAACAAGCTATATTTTCACAGTAATGCGCTGAGGTTTGTTTCACAGTTTCATGCCTGTGTTTAATATTGAACACTTTGGGACTCCATAGCCACATTTGAGCTTACTGTAGATGTGTCAGCATCAATTTACAAATCAAACCAACACGATTCATCATCTCATGACGAAGCCTTTGGCCTCCATGTGAAGTAAAACCATCACCGTCTTCAGCCTCCAGTATCTCATCTTTACTATCACTGCATGGAGAAGGTTTCCTCTTTGTGCTGAAGCTGACGTATCAAACTGAATTACAGCATCTTCAGCAACAGGAAAGGGTTGGATTTATGCCTTTATGGTTCCTCTGCAGTACATTGGAGATTGTGTGTGTGTGTGTGTGTGTGTGTGTGTGTGTGTGTGTGTGTGTGTGTGTGTTTGTGTGTGATGCAAACAGGCTTTGTGACTGTTTATCGACCACAGAGAGCCTCAAACACTCAAACTAAGAATTAACTGACGCAGAGACCGACGAGGTGGGAAAGTGGTTCTCCAGAGAAAGTAGATTTCAATACCAAACTTGTGCAAAATACCTCCTGGAACGTGCTGAAAATCTCAGACTGATGATAACAGTGTGAAAGTGTTCAGTGGCTCCTGCAGCTCTCTGGACGGGTGATTGATATATTTAGTGCCTCAGTGTGCTCCAAGGCTGCATCCCTTTTTCCTCTTCTGCTTTCATCCATCCATTCGCTGCTTTAAAGGGGACCTATTATGCTCATTTACAGGTTCATACTTGTACTTGAGGTTTCTACGGGAACATGACTACCTGCTTTAATGTTCAAAAACACTTTATTTTACTGTCTGCTGGAACCTGTGTATTCACCCTCTGTCTGAAACGCTCCGTTTTAGCACCTGTCTCTTTAAGTCCCCCCTCCTGAATAAGCCCAGTCTGCTCTGATTGGTCGTTATTGCAGCTGGGGGAATGACAGTAACCGAAAAGACAGAGAATCACCAAAAAAAAGCATGAAAACCAAAATCTTCACAACTGTTACAGAAGGAAAATGATCCAAAAATGAGGAGAATTAACAACATCACCTAACATTACATGCTTCCCTGACATTAGCATGTAGCTACATGTAGCGGTGTGCTTGCAGCCAGGGTACGACAGTAGTGTAACAGCACTTTCTACCATGAAAAATCATCAATGACAGCTTCTAAACCAAAAAACTGGACATGTTCCAGCAGGTGTACGATCCAAATTTGGGGAGAAATTCAAAGCAACCAAAATCACAGGTTTCCCTGACGTTAGCATGTAGCTACATGTAGCAGTGTAGGCTACGTAATGTAAACACTTGTAGTAATGTGCCTGGAGCAGATGACCATCTAAAGAAATCCATCAGGAGCTCATGTAATCTGGTCTCGAAAATAGAAAAAGTTTTTTTTGTTTTTGTTTACCTCATTATTTGAACGTTTTTCCAAATTTAATATTAACATCTGACATTTTAACATTATATATATGACAATAAATAAAGAAAAGCATAATAGGTTCCCTTTAATTACTGCAGTCCTGAGTGTTTCTGGCCCCAGTTGCTTTTTAGACACACACACACGCACAGGCTGTTCCTATGGGAGATTTATTAATGATCATCACCTAGGTGTCCTTACCATTGAGCTTCAGGTCACACAGAGGAAACAAGGCTTCGGCCTGCACGGGCAGTAAAGTCAGATTTTTAAATGTGTTTTTAATTGTGATCCAAATCTCTTCAGACGTTTGTTTGATTTACTTTCACAAAAAACAGATGTGGACACAAAGAAATCAGTTTTTCTTTGAGTCAGAGTGAGATGAACTCTGAGTGGCCTTAAGCGAGAGTTTTAGAGGGTTCAAGCTGGTTAAAACAGCATGTTGAGTGTAGGGAGTGCATGGAGAGGGGAGGGAGGAGGAGAAGGGGGGGGGGGGGGGGGGGGGGGGGGGNGGGGGGGGGGGGGGGGGGGGGGGGGGGGGGGGGGGGGGGGGGGGGGGGGGGGGGGGGGGGGGGGGGGGATATATCGACTTGTTAAATGCTGCATGAGGTAGGCGGCGTTGTGTTCCTGTCAGGGCGCCCTTATTCTTCCTCCTCACCACAACAGATCATTTGGGAGCATTAGCAAACTGTCCTGACGCTGGAGGAAGAGAGGGGGACTTGTTTCAGCTCATTTCACCTCAAAGCAAACACACACTCACACACACACACACACAAAAGAGGCATCAACAAATCCAAACCATTTGACTTACTGTAGTTTGTCATTTTAAATACAAGATTTTCATGTTTTTTGTTTTTAATCAGCTGTTTGACACTGTAATGAATTGACTTCTGAAAGACCAAAATTAATTTATTTTAAAAACATTGTTTTTTTTCTACATGTATTTGCACAATGTAAGTCTGTTGCCAACGCTGCTTCAAAGCCTTTTGCGGGACCTTGGTGTCGATTTCCTGTCATTTAACTCATGTAGTCGGTTTAAATTGTGTTTACTCATGAAGGACTCTGCGACAGGAATCCAGCTGACGAGCTACAAGCACATAAGAAGGAAACAGTACTTGAAGTCATGCTTGTTCCACTTTGCTTTCGCTGATGTTTTAGAGGACAAATGTGGTCTGTAGCACCAAAAACCTGGAGTCAGGTTACTGACTGTTAAATGTCGACGTACTGTACACCCAACACAGTGTTTCCCAACCTTTTAGGCTTGTGACCTTTTAAGATGAGGTCTACTTGTGAGTTCAAGCAAGAATTACCTGCTGAGACTGTTTCATTTGAAAGATTTTAGGGGCCTAGTAATGAATGAGAAAGACGGATGGATTGAAAAACTAAAAAAAAATCTTGTTACCTTTGACCCCGCAGATTTTTCTTAGTTGGGAACCACAAATATAACAATAATCTTTTCTACACCACAGAGTGCTACTGACCACGCTCATACATTTTATTTTCTATGCAATGTCAGGGTTCTTGTGAGTGCTGCAGTGGTCCTTTTACCTGTTTGATGTGCCTTGATTGTGCTGCCTCCTGGTGGTTTGAACACGGTGGTGCATTCACTGATTTCTCATTTGAACATCAACTCATTTGTTTTCTCATCACCATTAAAAATGCTCAGAGGAGCGGACACATTATTGGACAAACTGGAGACAGTAAAACATCAGAAAAATAAGTGTAATTGTGGCACGTTGCTGTTTTGACTGTAGAAACTGTTATATTGTTGCCATGGTGCCACCTCTTCATCAATGACTACTGGGGAGAGCTTTAAGTCTTCAGCTTTTCATTAAGGAGAATAAATTGGAGCGACAGCCTTCAGCCTGAATTCAATTTCTCCATGTGAGTCGGTGTGATTGAAAACCCAAATGAGTTAAATCAGACCGATAAAAGTTTGAGATGACGAGGGACCTGACGTCCGTTGTGTCAGCGACCTGAAGACAGATGAAAGAAACTGTTGATTTGCTGTTTACGTCTTTACCTGCTGCTTATCAACTGTCGTCGTCTTGTGTGTTTTATGTTAATGGTGAAGGGAAAATAGTTGTTTATTTTTTTTCTGGCACATTGAAGATTGAATGATTGATTCTATATTCACAGAGAGATCTATTTTTCCATTAGACAAATGTCTGTAATTTTTCTATTATCGAAACAAACATTCTGCTGGAGTGTTTTTGATTGAGAAATTAAAATAAATGAAGATAAAGAAGCTGTCTGTGATTTGGTTTGTGAAATGCTGTCTGCTTCTGATTTTGGGACATTGAGGTGTAAGGTGTCAAGTATTTCCTTGCTGATGGCAGAACAGTTATTGGCCACAGCTCATTGTCATTCTGGTGCAAAAGCCACAGTTTAACTTGCTGAACCTGACACAGATATAATCATTGTCACTGAATTCAAAAGTCTGAGGTCAGGAAAATAAAACAAGGTACCTGCATATGTAACCCAGGTGCAGGATAACAGATTTAATGGAGTAGAAAATACACTAATGTCAGGTAATAAACTTTATGAAGCTAGTTCAGAACATTTTTTCTCTTCAATGCACCAGAGGACATATGCAGACCACTACCTTTATCTATGATCTTAAAAGAAAAACTAAAGTGTAATCATGCATGACCCACAGCTTCCTGCCACAACAGATTATATATAAAATACTACAGCTTAATATACAAAACATTACAGGTCATCATCAAAGGAAACCTGTCATGCTTTTCTGCTGTCACATTTTAAAACTGCCTTACTCATTTGAATGTAGTGTTCCTGTGCATGCTGTGTGCACTGTCCACTCGTATTGTGACAGAAAAATGTAAATGTAGCTAATAAATATGGGCTCAGACTCAGCGGGACTGTGCAGGGCAAACTTCTGACTGAGCTCTTTGACTTTCCAACATGTAATGTTGGTATCAGTCATCACAGGCCTGTGCTATACGTTAGCACAATACCAGACGTGGATGGATTCTATCAGGCTCCATCTTTAAACAACATTACTAATTACACCAGCCACTCATGCTTTTAAAAGGTACACTATGCAGGAATTGTCTGCTGTTTAGTGTTTGTAAACAGAATCACCAGAGAAAGTTAAAGCCAACCCCAGATTCACTCTCTTTTTGCAACGAGCTTAGTCCACTTGCTGTTTCACCTCTATGTTTTTTTTTTTGTTGTTGTTTTTTTTCCCGGCACTGCTTCTGCGATTTTCGTAGCTTCTTCTTGGATGCGTGCTGTTTGCAGTCTAAAGTCACGACCTCACCTGAGCGCTGTGCTTGGGAACGTCCAAACCACAGCAAAATAAGAAGATGCAGGAGAGCAAGGCCTCTGCAGGTAAATACATCACCACACACTTCTGGTGGGTCATAAACAATGAATGAGAGGGGTTAATTTTTTATGAGTCTATATATTATTTTTAAGGAAATTCTTGCATAGTGTACCTTTAAAGTTAAAGCAAAGTGTGTTACTCTTTGTTCTTGTCACTGCCAACAAATCCTATGAAAAGACCAAAACCAACTGTGTGTCAGCTTGACCCTCAGTACTTTCAGCCTCACACACAGGCTCCTACTGGTCACAAATATATACTTACTTTGTAAACTGTTTTTAAAGGCTGAGTAGTTTCCTAAAATGGCTGGGCACTGTAGTTTTTGGCAAATGTTACTCAAACAGGATGGAATTTTGTATTTGTTGGGGACTATTTTCAGCTGTGGATTAATACACATTTGGTGCACAAATGAGGATTTGTACCAGCAGGACAAATGTGGGATCGATTAAAAATAAAATACAGTTTGCGTGTGGCTGCACAGGGGCTACTTTACAGGATCAGTTAATTATTGGTTTTGGTGTTCTCATGTGATCTGTTAAAGGTATACAAAGCAGGATCGTCAGTGTCTGTAATTAATATCGCCAATAAAAGTAAAAGTGACAGCTGACCCTAGATTCACTCCGCTTAGGGTTTCACCTCACTATATTTCAGTTTTTCCAGTGCTGTGTCTGCATTTTTCGTAGCTGCCTCTTGGATGTGTGCTGCTTCCTGTTTGGCACCTGGTTGCTACCTTTTTGTTAAGTCCTGACACTTACGGTGGGTAATGAGTGATGATTTTAGGAAAATCCTGCATAGTATATCTTCAATATTAAAAAATAATAATAATAAAGAATACAACCAGGCTTATCTGCAGTCAATACAACAGCTAAGAAAATAAATATAAGCCACAATGTTACTATGGTACTGCTTGCAAAGTTTAATACATCACTATACAGTCGTCTTAACGCAACAAAAGTAAACCATTAAAAAATGAAATCAGAAGTACAATACACACTCAGCATTTTGTACATATATGCCCCAAGCATCCACGTGACTTGTTAGAACTCAGGTTTGTGTTAAATATATACTGTATGTATTTATATATTTCAATATAGTCATGACATCTGTACAGAGGGAATCAGGCTACAAATCATAACTTTATTATTTTTTTTAATATATCAATAACAGGCCACTGTGGAAATGTAGACATCGTACAGTCAAGTCTTGTGTGTGTAGCCCGTTCAAAAGGCTTAAAGCAACATGTTACATGCTTTGGCTGTAAAACAAACTTCTCGCAGTAATAATAATAATAATGGTTTAAATTTGAATAATATACACATACACAGAAAATTGTACATCATGTGCTTGATATCCTGCCAGATTTTTGCTCTGAGATCTAGCGAGATAGCTTCACATTTATTTCTGCGACTGATGATGAGGGCGAAAGATGGAGCGGTGATGTCACCTCTCAGCTCTTGGTGAAGCTGTGCGTTAGTGAGCGTTTAATCTTTTCAAAACTCTGTAACCATGGTCCATAATCTTTATGTCTTCAGACTGAGCTCTGACTACTGAACACACACTTCTCCAAGAGCTGTGAAAGTGACATTTTACAGAGAGCAGCAAGTGGGAGGGGAAAAAGGAGACAGGAAAGCAAACAAGGCGACATGCTACAGCAGCCAGTGAAGAAAACAACACATCCTCCTCTGTAGCATCAAAGGCAACGAAATAATGACGGCCAAGTTTAAGTCAATAAGTCATGGATGCCTGATTGTACAGGGATGCCAGCTTTAAGAGTCACGGGGGGAAAAGATGGAAGACAAAGCAAAGCAAAATACCCTCATTCATGACCTTTATTTTCTTAAATCTTTAAAACGCAGCAACTCTTGGCTCATGGTTTTTTTTTTATCCTCTCCCATCACTCATAGTTTCACAATGGCACAATGTGCTCTCTCATTCAGAAACACTCTTCAGCATCAAGCTTCTTTGTTCAAGTAAAATACCAGACAGCCGGCGCTCTCTTGTTTATTTCACAGATTATAGCAAGCACAAGGGGTTCGTCTGCCCTGTATTATAATCAGAATAATTATTACAATGAGAAAAAAAAGAGCATTATGTTAAAGGTGGGATGCAGTTGTTTAAAAAGATGTAAACAAAGACTTCTGATTTCCCGAGGAAGCACGAATAAACCCAAAGGTACGTTTTTGTTTTTACAGTTAACTGCAGCGCAATCTGTGGCAAAATTTCATTGGTAAATAAAAGCTTGATTTCTTTCATCCACATCGAATATATGCCGTGTAGTGAAAGAAAAGATCACACAGAGTTTTGCCTGCGTGTTTAATTTGTGTAATCTTCCCTCGTCAGTGGGGTCAGCAGTCGCCTACGTGGGATAAGACTCTCGAGTCGAGGAAAACACGGAGTAACAAAATAATAACAGTCAAGCAAAATGATTAGAATATGAGTAAACTGTCAGTGTCACACTTTCTGTGGTTTGTATTCTGATGTTATTAAACTCTGCACGTGCAATTTGGAGAAGAAAAAATCAGAATACAGCGATGGCAGCAGTGTGAGAGACTGCGTTTAAAGGGACAGTTGAACCCCTAAATCAAAACACATATTTTTCCTCTCACCTGTAGTGCTGTTCATCAGTCTAGATTGTTTAGGTGAGTTGCTGAGTGTTGGAGACATCAGTCTTGGTGACTCACCCAAAAACAACGCAGAGTCTACCGATGAGAAGAAAAATATGCATGTGTGACTTTTAGGTGAACTGTCCCTTTAAGAACTGAGAAAAGGGGGAAACTGATCAGAGATCTGCACTGCTAAGGAGGAAACACTGGAACAGGGTTTTAGTGGTTTTAGTGCGTGTCTAGGCCTGTCTACGTTAATGTCTAAAGTATGACACAAGCAGCTCTGTACACAATGATCTGAGATTATTAAGAATGATTCAAGTAAGGCAACATGTTGACATGAGATGACGGAATGGATGCTGTATGTTTTTTTTTCTATTTATTATTTAAGTTGTGTCATTTGCAGTGATGTGGGCTCACCTCCGTCATCGAAAAGTGGAGCATCGTGGGTAAAGCTCCTCTGCTCTGAAACACTTCAGCCTCTGTGAGTAAAACGACTTAAAACGCACCAAAACACCAAAGCACAAGGTCTGTTTTGGTGATCGAACGACTTTGCTAAATTCTACAGAAAGTGAGTGGAACTTTTGTACGTAGAGGCGGCAGCTGTGTGAAGCTTTGACCAGAACACAAACACCTTCACATTAGAGCCACCTTACTGTCGTCCTGTGCCTGGCTGGCCTCTCTACACACCACAACAGCTACAGCAGTCTGACCTCCAGAGGTGATTCCTATGTAAACTTTGTCACTCGGTGTTTGCTGCGTGGTTCGGTGCGAGTGATTGGCGAAGGAAAAATACCAGCAAGTGTAGTGGAAGAAGTGTTGAAGCTGTCGTGGTTGGCAGTTTTACTGACATTCAGTACGTTCTACTTTAATGTGTGTGTGTATGTGTGTGTGTGTGTGTGTGTTTGTGGATATAGAGAATTTGGCAGAAAGCGTACAACCAGTGATTTCTATTTAAAAAGAATCCTCCTGGTCGGTGTATTCACCTCTCCCAGACCAGATTGTCCATTCGTTTGTTGTAGTGCAGGATGGTACAGCGATAATATCAGTAGTGCTACAGATAGCCGCAGTCGACCCGACAGCCAGGAGAGCTGGGCTTTGCAGTTTTTCAGCCATCTTTGACCTCGTCCAAAATGCAGCGACGATCACGAGTCTGCTTTACATTTTTTTTCTGCTGATTGAGATGGCAGAGTGGTTTATCCAGCAAACCCCCACCCGTACGGTGGATGCTGCTGGAGGCTAAGGTGGATGAGGAGGGTGGAGGAGGGTTCATGGCACTGATTTATTATCTCATTCAGTCCTTTAAGCATCCACACCACCTCCGCTGAAGTCCTGCTGAGGCCAAAAGAGAAACTATGACGGGCTTGGGTAAAAGCTCCGTGTTTACCTGTGTCCATGAGCAGATGAGGGTTCCTGTGTGACAGGGTAGCTCCCATAGGTTTGTGCAAATGGTTGAGCGCATGTGAGGTCCGCTCCTCTTTATCCATCACACTCATCTGAAGAGACACTGAAGGAGAACAAAGACATTATCAAGTCGCGTCCAAACCTGAACCTGCTCACTCTCCTGATCAAAAGGTGCTGTTCTCCTGCAGTCGTGGTTTGATCCAGAGGGGTTATGGGGGGAAAAAGGCAAAACATTGTGGAGTTTGGGGCAGCAGGAGCGGTACAGACTAAGAAATGGAGGACAACAATGTGGGCAGTGCTGGGGGCACAGTGCAGCTCTGGACAGGGGTACAGAAGATTGAAAATTGTAGCCCCCCCCCCAAAGATGACAAGTAATGGATCCTCCTCTACAGCGCGAGGCGGATGAAAAGGTAGTAGAGAAGGAGGAAAAGAGCAGGGAACAGTGCAGACGTGTGTTGGGGGAATGGCGAGGAGGCACTTACTTGTCCTCTGTGTGCTCAGTGATGGCAGCGGCGGCCAGCGCAGCTCGGTACTGCAGCAGCACACCTCGAACGCTCTTCACAAAGCCCTTAGAGAGTGGGAAGAGTGGAAAGCCGATGTCCGGGTAGCCGCTGCCCTCTGGGAGGAAACTCCGGTAGCTCTTCCTCCGTTTCTTTGGTCGCACCACCGGCTGGCTTCCTGTGGAGCCCACCCCTCCTCCGCTAACCGTGGCTGAACCTGATTCCGACGTCCCGCCGCGGACCACAGAGCAGGCGACTGTGGCGCCTCCCCTGTTGTCACCAACCAGAGTGGTGATCCCCTGGGCGCTGTCGCAGTCTGAGTTGTGGCTCAGCTCCTGCTGAGAGGCGGCTGTAGTGGAGGGACTCAGTCCTGAATCCTCCAGCTCCTCCTCCATAATACTGCTAACTCCGGCTCCTGTGACCCCCTCCTCCCCAGGCTTACTGGGGCTGCTGTGAGCCACCACCACGGGCCCCTGCTCGTCCAGAGGCTCCACAGATGAGGGTCGGTCTTTTGAATGATGGGCCCTGTGCGCCGCCTGACCCCGCTCAGCACCGTCGTGCAGCTCGAGCCACGCTTCCAGGCGGTGGACGAGCCGCCAGCCGTTAGAAATAAAGTGCTCCTGGATCTCCTGTTTGAAGACCTCCACAGGATTCTGGAGGAGCTGCGTCATGGACTGGACCATCTTGATGAGGGCCATCTCGTTATAGCAGCGGCTGTTCTCATAGCCTTCCTGGAGGCCTCGGTCACTGTCGAAGCCAGCCTCGTTATAGTAAGGCTCGTTGACGAGGATAAGGCCTGCAGAGAGATACAGACGTGTATGTGCAGAGTGTGAGCTGAAGTTCATTAAAAAATGGTTGTTAGTCGTGGAGTGAGCGATTGCTTAATTATAAAAAGTCGCCAAACAGCACCAGCAGGTTCAGAGTGGTTGTTTTTTGTGTGTTGGACATTTTAACCAAATTCTAGTGAGGAGATGACAAAGACATGAATTATACAGTTAAAGACACGTTTTACACGCGTTAACTCAGAGCCAGCAAGATACAAAAATAAGTGGATTATCTGGACTCAGTTTTTCTGGCAGGCCAGATTGCAGAAGAGTTTCATGGAAGTGGTGTAATGTCTGTGTGTGAGGCAGTTACAGTCAGCTGAATGACTGTGTGCGACACTGCACTTGTAGCCCTTCTGAGTAAATGAACACATGAATAAAACATTTTTGTGCTGCAGAGAAGAGAAGAGGGATAGAGGAGTCTGTGTGTGTCTGTGTGTGTGTGTGCATATGTATGTATGTGTGCACGCGCTAACCTTGTATGGAGATGAGGACTTGCAGCAGACTGGACTTGCTGGTCCATCTCTCAGTGCCCTGAGGATCAAATAACCACAAAGGAAAATCAAATGTTATAACTTCTGTTTCCTGTTAGAGCAGAACGAGGAACAACACATGGTGAGATATCTCACACTACATGAGTTGTACTGAGAGAATCAACTGAAAGGCAAGGGAAAAACAACGACCAGCAATTTTTGAGAAAAGCACAGAGAAAGCAAAAGAGAAAGTCTCTAAACTGACGATAATAATGAGGATTTTTCATTATTGATTCATGTGTTATTTCATATCAACAAATAAATGTTGTTTTAAGTCTATAAAGACTGAAAGTCCTCAAATGTCTTGTTTTTTTGTCAAACCAACAGTCTAAAACTCAAAAGACATTCAGTTTATAATCATATAGAGCAGCAACAAGCAGCAAATCAAGCCAGATGATCTATTTACATGTTGGTTTGAGTCGAACCCTACCATTTGTGCGACATTCAGTTGTTTTTTTTTTTTAACACAAAGTTGTTAAAATCGAGGAGTTATGCTCCAATCAGGGAAGAGAATAACAAAAAGATGAAATAAATTAATAAATCTATGAAGTAAAAATTAATTTATGTTGTCAGAGAACGTAAAGTTTGCATGTTCGCCCTGTGTCAGTGTGGGTTTTCTCTGGGTGTTCCAGCTTCCTCCCACAATCCAAAGACATGCAGGTTAATTGGTGACTCTAAATTAGCCGTAGGTGTGAATGTGTGTGAATCGTTGTCTGTCTCTATGTGTCAGCCCTGTGATAGTCTGGTGACCTGTCCAGGGTGTACCCTGCCTCTCGCCCAATGTCAGCTGGGATAGGCTCCAGCCCCCCCACGACCCTCAAGAGGATAAGCGGTGCCAAGTCTGGTTCAAAAGGGCAGGCTTAAACTGTTTTGTGCAGGCCTAAGATGCCACCAGCTCACACTTTAACACAGAGTGCTGTAAAACTGCAGGGTGTTATTATATCTCTAAACCTAATAAGACATTCTATCTGTATGTAGATTAACCTGTGAGCAGCACTCACCTTGCCGATCCAGGTGCCCAGCAGGCTGACGCAGACCTTGCCGTTGTCGTAGAGGTTGGGGTTGAGGCGGCCGCTGCACTGTGACAGGTAGCGAAACAGAGGCGGCACAGCTGGGTAGATGTTGGGCAGCTGGATATCGAACAGGAACAGACCGTCTTCGTAAGGTGTTCGAGTCGGCCCTTTGATCAGAGCTGAGAACAGGTCCTGTGTCAGAGAAAGCAAAGACATTTATGACACGTTTTATGATGTATGCAGTCGGTGTAATCTAAATGATTAGATGAGTAAATAAAGCAGTACGTCAATACTGAGATGAGGGGTGGCATTTTCTGTCTTTAGGTTAATTCACTTTTAAATATCTATACTGTCAAGGCTCATAGTTTAGTAGATATGGGCTTATAAAAATACAATGATGAGCTTGTGGAATCAAAGTCTGTGATGGTATATTACTGTGTGTTACCCATATGTGTGAAGACATTCAAGTAACTAGTATAAATTTTGGCCCTTTTTTCAAACTAAAAGCTAGTTGTAAATGTGTGAGTATGTGCATCTCTGTGCATGTGTAACTGGTGTCTGCTTTCAAATGTACACGCATTTATTTCAAAATAATGATAATGGTGCTACTTTTCACGTGACATTATTGAGAAGAAACCCACCATGCGATCCTCAAATGTTTTGACCATGATGCCGTCTGGCAGGGATGTTGCTAGCAGAGCCATTTCCTTCCTCACTGTGCTGAAGAACTTCTTTGCCTCCGCTGGCTGAAACTCCATTTTATTAAACGAGTGTGTGTCTAAAAAAAAAAAATACAGTGAGAGGAGAGACAGATGGTGACTGAACAGCAGTAGAGAGAAATAGAAATGAACAAATTCAACTTAGCTTGTGTGGGCAGAGAATTCATCAAGCTAATGGATGTACGCAGGGTGCTTATAGCTTGAGGCAAGTTAGATACAAGACCTTTGGCCTTGTAGACTTTGAATGACTTTTGAAAGCATGACCTCAGACATTTTAATACAAATTAAGACCTTATTTTTACATTGATTAATTCAATGCCGAAGACTTTTCAAGTATCCGCTGTGACCCTTCGTGTGCGTGTGTGTCTTTGACAGAAAAGTGTGATTACAGTACAACCCCTCTCACCTGGTGCCCACTCCAGCACAGAGAACACCTCTCCCTTGGCACTGGTGAAGGTGACTCCAGGCTTGCCACCACTCTGTTGGCACAGTACTGGTGTGTCACTGAGAAACTCACTGGGCCATTCTTGTCCACCCACTGGTGTCTGTGGCTCCTGCTGCGGCTTTTCCTCTCCAACTCTCTCTATCTGAAAGGTAACACATCACCAGGTAAAATCTACAGCTGCACTTATTTACGTCTTATTTATTTGGACTGCACTGGCAAATTAAATCAACTCTGCCACACTGTAGAGTAACTAAACACCTACCTCTGTCCCCGCTCCTCCACTCCCACCTGCCTCCACCACAGCCTCCATCTTCTCCTCCTCCACAATGGCCACGTTGTCCAGCGTCTTCCTCAGGTTCTCCTGCAGCTTCTTGATGTCATCCAGGAAGCGTTTCTCCTTGGTCGGTTTCTCAGGGGCCATGGGCGTCACTGAACTCGCTACGTTCGTTGTGGAAGCGGGTTCAGCGGAGGTTGGGGAGGTCGGAGAACCGCCTGTCCAGAGCTGCTCCACAGTCATGTTCTTCAGGCTCTCCAGGATCTTCAGGGCCTCTTTCAACTCCCTGAAGCCCCGGGAGGTGCCATCTTTGCTTGGCTTCTCCGCTCCGTTGACTGGTCCTGGGGTGGTTCCTAAGCAGGCAAAATTTAGAAGCTTATCACAAATTCCTGCAAGTAGAATTAGAGACATGTCAAAAAGGACAAGAGCATTTTACAAGATGTGGAAGCATCTGTTGATGTTTGTATCACTACTCTGTTTAGATTAAAGTTATTTATTGTTTTGTTTCAAATTCAAGATCACAACAAAGACAACAGTGGAGCTCTATCGAACAGAAGAAGAGGCTATATCAGGCTTTGAATACACAGGCTGTTAGTAGGATCAACTCATTGTTGGTTTGGTCTTTTCATCATGGGATCTGTTGGCAATAAAAACATCACCAAACGTATCCACTGACACATGGTGGACATCTGTTGTTTGATCGTAGAGGATAAAACAATTAGTATTAGTAATTAGTAGTATAGGGGCAAGTTGACTTCAGGCAAGTACATTTCTGACAGATTTGCCAGAGTGGGCTAGTTACCAAGAGGCAAGTGTTCTTTCCTCCTTTAGAGTTACTGCATTATCTTATTTTTCTCTTTAAAATGTCCTTGTGCAACTTCATGCAAGGCACCTTGAGTTTAAATTTTTAATCAATTGTGCTATATAAATAAAATTTCCTTTCACTGCCTGAAGATACAGATTTCACAAAAACTGTTGTGAACACTCAACACTTCTATGTAGGACAAAAAACTTTTGTCCTGTAGAGGACAAACCAGCTCGAGTGGGGACACAAGAATTAAGGAGAATGATTTATGTCTTGCAGTGTGGTGCTGACACTGTTCCCTTAAGACAAAATATAGGTGTTGCAAAAGCTCCCCACCTCCTCCAGAAGCGGGACTAGCAGCAGCCACAGAGGCTTCTCCCTCCTCTCCTGGGGCTCCTTTAGTGGGTCTGGTGACCCCGGCTTTGCTGCCCTCTTGAGGGGGGATTATGAACGTCGAGGAGCTGGTGGGGGTGGGGGTTGGGGTCGCTGTGTCGATGACATCTGTATTGTTGACGTGGCTGTCGTCCTCGGTGGTGAGGCCGTTGTCCGTCTCCCAGCTGTCACTTTCGTCCTCCCACTCCTCAGTGGACAGGACGCTGCTCGTCTCCTCTACCGAGTCGTAGTCGGTCTCCTCGATCTCAGACTCCACATTGTAGAGGTGCTGTGTGTGTGTTTATTCAGACACTGTCAGCAACAGATGTCTCACTTCTGACGTCAAAAAAGACAGTTTCACTGAGGATAAACATTTACCTGTGGCAGGACGATGGTCATGGAATTATCCGCCCACACAACCTCCACTTTGCTGCTCACATCCACCCTGGACACCTGGCCGACTGACGTCTGAGGGAAGGTGGATGCAGAGATACAACCATTGTCAGCACCCAACAACACATAATATAATATGAAAACAAGTCTAAAAGGGTCGCAAAGGACACTGTGTGTCATAGGACTTGACTAAAGGAAAAAACTTCACTAGCAAACACTCCAGATGGCAGTGTTTATTACTCCATAACATTACACTGTTGGATGCAGGAAGCAATATACTGATATTTTTTATTTTCTTTACCAGGAGAAGGGCTAAAAAAATATACCCTAAGTTTGCTCTAAAATGCCATGAGGTCATTAACATGAGAACTGTCTATATATATGGAGGCATGAATGTGCTTTACCAGTTGAATTATGAAATAGTTTGTGGGGAAAGTTGACACTAAGACTGGTGCAGGAGAAAAGCTCATTGGGTGTCCTAAACAGAAAGGCTTTTTTGGGTAGCGTGAATGTGTTCCCACTATGTTTCCTTTTTATACACTCAGGGTGAATTCACAAAGAATAAATTGCAGTCGCTGGTAGCATTATGAATTATGCATCACTTGCAACCGCTATCTGCTAAGAAGCAACCGAGGTCCACAATTCACAAAAGATACTGCTCTAATAACATTATGGCATAAACAAATCCTTGACGTTTTTCAGCTGAGCGCATTTTGCCCTTTTTGTGCCTGATTGCAATTATCTATACGGCAAAGTATAAATATTGCCTTTGCTCCAGGAACACAGTATGTGGAACAATGACAGAGAGAAAAAGAAGACTGAAAATTTCAGACTATGAGCTACAGGTCCTGACAGACAAGGCGCAGAGGCCCTCCTCAAAACTTCATGCATGAAATTTAAATGTGACAGACAGAAACTGTATGTGGGGTTTAATATCCCAGTCTGTCAGAGCTGTTGGTGTTTTCAAACACACACCTTTTGATTAAAAAAAGATGGCATGAATTGAAGTGGAGGACAAAAGAAAAAATATCACTACTGCCATGATCACAGTGAAGTCTCTTAAGAATATGCTTCAGTCACCACCAGCTCTCTGAAGATGTTAATAATTTCACTATAACTATGGGGAGCTATAAGCACTGATCTTTTTGAATTGGACTGTTTTTGCACTGAGGCTCACTTGCCTCAGTTAAATGTATGCATATTACCTAATTCAAATATGTGCAAATAACATAAGAGCACTGAAATGCTATTTACTTGGCAGCGCAGTTACAGGTGTAATTACACAGCTTCTTTTTTGCCTTATTTGTCTTATGTGAATTTGCCCCTCTGCTGCTGGTTTATTAGGTGTCCTACATCTGTCTAAAACTAATACAGGCTGATACAGTCCTGCAGTAAATGCTACCTTCATGAATGTTCAGCTTTTAGAGAGGTGCTGATTCAGGTAATTTGTGGTGCTGCTGAATTTGATTTCTATTATTGTGCCCACCCCATCAAATGTCAGCGAGAGTAGACTAAATATGCTGCAGTGCACATGAAAGAACAGAGTTTTTTAAATTGTTCTCACCTCATTTTCGCAGTCGTTGTGTCCATTCTCTGAGTTCCATATTCTGATGACGATGTCGGTGGTGCGGAAGTGGAAGTCTGGGTGATCTGCGATGTCATACACACTGACATCTTCCTCCTTACCAATTACCTGGAATAAACCAAACCTGTTTTAGTTCTACGATAAAGTTGGAGAATTGTGTACAGCAGCCAGGTGTCATGACATAAAGACAATCTGCTAACAGTGAATGAGGGAGTGTAGTCAGGTGGCTGTGGGGTTCACACATACAGCTATCAATACCTGCATTAACGCCTCCTTCCTCCCTCTATAAAGTCACATTTCCATTGCATGGTACAACACAGCTTGACTTAACTCATCTCGCTCTTATCCAATTAGCAAAAGTTGTAGCTTGTACCTGGTACTTTTTTGGTACAACCTCAGTCAGGGCTCCATGCGAGTTGAACAGATACTAGAAGATGGAGTTAAAACACTGCAGACCACTGATTGGATGGTGAGAATTGTCACTTGTGCAACACGGGGCAGCTTGCACAAATTTGACTTTTTTTGTAAGAGTCAAGATACTCTCAATAGCTTCTGCAATTTGGTTTTCTCACTGGAGCCAGATTTTCAGCAACCAGTGCTAACTGCGTCATGGCGCATAATATATATGACAATGTGATCAGCATAATATTATGTTTTTGAAATGGACAAAAGGAGCCACTAGTGTCCAACACGCTGTGGGAGATTTACTGCAGAGCCCAGGCTGGTTTCGGAAACATGAAGGAGATCAAACTTCAGTAGAGGTGAGACAGAGAGCGGCATGTTTGTTAACTTCAAAGTTCATGTGTTTTTTGGGGTGATGAGAGGAGACAGAGAAAACTAAAACTGAGCCAATATGGCAACATGTCGCTGATGGAAGAGGTGTTCTTTTTTTTTTTTCCCCCCAAACCTGTCTGCATTAGTCTTCGTAGCTTAGCGCCACAAAAGGGTGTAAGCTTTTTATGAAGATTGATGCACTGTTAATCTTGCAGTCAAGTATTTTATACCCATACTGTGCGTGGTTGTGACCGTCAGTCATCAGTCTTTATTGGAAAAACTTCCTAATACGAGCCAGAGAGGGCCGTGATACACCGTAGTGTGTCAAGGGGAAAGTAAGGGACAGACAGGGGGGATTGAGGGACAGGTGCTTAAGTCCTGAGTTATATAGCGACAGTGCATGCGGAGAAGAAGGAGAAAACAAACAAACAAGCAAACAAACATACAAACAAAACAAAAACAAAAACAAAAAAAAAAAACAGAGGAGAAACAGGCAGTGTAGCTGATGTATTGTGGCCTTGACGTTGTTGTGCTCCATACAGATTACCAAAAATAAACAAATAAATGTATAATAAAGAGAAAAAAAAAAGAGAGAGAAATCTATACTGAACACCAGAAATGTGAGAGTCCTGGTGGTGGAGGAAAGCCCGATTGTGGAGAAGAGTTGCCAGCGCAGTGTGGTAGGTTTGAGAAGCAACTGAGCCCCTTTTGAGTGATCCCATCGGTTCTTTGCGATGCGTCACGGAGCTGAAGTATCAAACATGCATGCGTGTATTTGAACCCTCCCAATGTGTTTATGAAAACCATCACCAGGGACCAGGGCCAATGTCCCAGCCCTGCAGGAGAAGGTGGGCGGTGAGGCACCCCAAGGCCGCAGGAGCGCCCAGACCCCACGCCCAGGGAGCCGCAGAGGCTGCAGGACACCACACAGGCCCTAGGACCCGGGGTGGCAATGGCCAGCACCCCCAGAGAGCCAGAAACACACCCCAGATGGGCGGGGCAGGAAGGCCCGTCCACCTGCCGCCCAACGCAGACCCATGCAGTAGAAATGAGGGCATAATACTAACAATCTATTTGTTAATCTCTCCCCTCGCGCGCACACACACACACACACACAGATATCAAGCATTCTCAGTGGTTTTCACATCCTTTAAAACACAAACACTCTTGTCTTGTTTTCCTGACCGACCTCCACGTCGTCGCTGCTGGAGTTGAGTTTGATCCACTTGACGACACATGTTCTGCCCTTGTGATCACCAGACTGGATCACACCGTACACTCCCGGGTCCTGGAGGGCTTGGGCTGAGAGAGCACACACACACACACACACACACACACACACACACACACACATAGTTTAGACAGCAAAACAAAAAAACATTAAATACAAACACTTGAACGTTTTTATAAAAAGATTCATAACAACGTAACAACAACATTTCTGTAGAAAGCAGAGGGAGACTTTAGCTGACTGCAACATCGCAGCCTTGAAGAACATCCCTGCATTTTTCAGTCCATTTCACAGACACACAAACTTGGCATAGTTTCAGCAAATGACCTAGATACTGTAGGTACTAGGTGGCCTATATAAAAAATCCCATCGCAGTCCACGGGGACAGAAATCTGACAGGTTGCGTCTTCACTGGTCTGAAGAAATGAACCAAACAAAGTAAAATCAAACAACAAAATCCATCATTAAAAACAAAAAAAAACAATCACACTAATTTTGCTTACGTCGTTTATCTACAACAAAGTCCCCGGGACAGAACTCATGACTGTCGAGGTGCTGGATGGGGATGAGGTCGTTTGATCGGATCCCCTTCTCCACCCGCCCGTCCTTCCACATCACATCAGCCGTCGTCTTCGTGGATACAACCTCCACTGCAACCCTGTACAAACACACACAGGTGAATGTTAATAATTTAAAACCCCAACCTGCCTTTTATCATTTTATCATATAGAGGACAGTTTCTCTCTTTTGGTTCTCTTCTTTTCACTCATCACAAAAGGAAAGCTTCTGCACACCAAGACATTTCTGCTAATATCTTGTCCTTCTATTTGCTGTATCATTTATCTTCACCGAGCCACTACATTTATCTCTCCTCTCTGCATGTTGGAACCTCAATCTTCCCTCTCATTCTGTCTTTTCTCTCATTCTCCCTCTCATCATTTAGCACTGAAACATCTTGTAGCTGAATACAAAACACAGATTCATGCTACATTAACTAATCTGTTGTCATTATCCCCGACTAGAGGTCGTCAAACTGGAACTTAAAAGGTTTTGTTTTTCAGAAAACTTGAATCTTTTTGGAAACTAAATGGCAAAGAGCAGAACATCTGCAGTCTTGTGGTTGGTTCGGTGAAGTAAAACGAGCAAGAGAAGAGTGTGAAATCTGTTTTGTAAACTGAGGATGAGTGTGACAGTGCGGTTGAGGAAATGACACCATCTGCACTGAAAGACTTTGTGTGTGTGTGTGTGAGGCTGCTGTCGAGCTCCAGTGTCACTGTCGGACAGATCGAGACATGAGCCCTTTGACAAACAGCAGAGAGGTCGGAGACGCACACAAACACACTGTTGTGAGGGCTGAGCAGCCGTTGGTTGCTTTAATGGTCGGTAACAGATGATGTCACTGGTCTCATTTTTACACCATATTCCCGATACAGTTGCAGAGAGGAGGGGAAAGTAAATGTGTAGGAAGCCTCGTCAACGCACTCATCAGCCTTATAGATCTGCCAAATGTCAAAACACTTCAGTTGCTCCCCAGACTTTGAAAAAGGCACCGGATCAATCCCTGGTCACTTTTGAGGAACGTAGCCACCGCAGTGGTCTGATGAGTCAATAAATCTACAGAAAGGTTACCCAATAGTTGGACAGACGTATGAAATGAAGAGGGTGTGAATGGATGGAAAAAAAAAAAAACAAGCAAACAAAAAAAAAAACAAAGAAGAATGAATGAAGGAAACAAAGAAAAGTGTAAAGCGGGAGACAGGAGAAAGAAAAAGACAAAAATGCTGGAGTTTTGTTTGCTGCTATGAACCCACCGGTCTCCGGGCTTGAACTCGCGGGAGAACTTGGTCCTCTTCTTCTTGTGCTTCCTCTTCAGGTTACGGATGGAGAGCGGGATGCTCTTCTTGCGGTTGGTTCCCAGACCACCGCTCTGAGAAGAGGCTGTGGAGCTGGCTGATGATGTCAGAGAGCTGCAACCAGGATCATAATCACAGGTTAACATCACATTAAACTGCACACACACAGTACACACACAGGACGGTTCTCCTCTTATAAGTTGGTCTGGTCTGCAGGGGTCAACTTCTTGAAAATTTCCCAGTGCCTGTGACATCCTCAAATTACTAACAGCCTAAATCATTACCATCCATTTTAAATCACAGATGAATGGCAGAAAACACTGACCTCTGATAAGCTTAAACCAGATCATTTTAGGGTGGTGTTGCTGTGAAAAACTACTTCAGCAATTAAGCAATAATCAGAATGGTGACTAATTTTCCATCAATCAGTATGTGAATTAACTGACTAATTAGAACAGCAAAAACGAACTGGGCTAAATGTAGAGCTACCTGAGGTTCATACAGACATCTTATACTTTGACCACAATTACTGTTATTATAATATTATTATTACTACTCTGTCTCTCTTCATGTCTCATTGTGTCATATGGATTACTGTAAATTTTTCATGTTGATCTGTTCTGTGCGACATCTTTTGCACGTCTGTCCGTCCTGGAAGAGGGATCCCTCCTCAGTTGCTCTTCCTGAGGTTTCTACCATTTTTTTCCCCTGTTAAAGGGAGTTTTTACATATCTGATGTGAGGGTCCTAAGAACACAGGGATGTCGTATGCTGTAAAGCCCTGTGAGGCAAATTGTGATTTGTGATATTGGGCTTTAGAAATAAAACTGAATCATGTAGTGGCACTGGAGTATATTTAAGGACAACAGTTTAACTTTAGACACAATAACTAACATTCAATAAAAATAAATCAAAGGGCAATAGCTCCGCTATAAATACTGCATATGTGAAACTTTTAAACTTTGCGTTCTGTTTAAGAGATGATGATTTAACTCTGCGGTCACTTTGAGGCTCAGCGGCCGCCGACTGGAACTTTTAGAAAAGGTTATTTTTATCACTTATATTTGAGGGGATAATAGTCCCTTATAAACTCAAGTAGTTAGTTGGTAGTTAAAGTAAAACTACACCCAATATTTCAGTAGTGAAAAAGTGTAATCAAATAGAAAGCTAACAAAGCGCGTGTGCGTTACAGTCTGTCTCCTTCACACACAAACACACTCACTGAATGGATACCATTAAAAACAAGTAAATCTACTTCATTAACAATTCAATTCAAACTTAAGGCAAAATCAACAACAAGCACCCAACATTATTAGATTTAAACTGCACATAAAGACACCTAAACACATCACCTTATGCTATGGGAAATTATGATCCAATCATATACAAGATTTTTTATATTTATCATATACATTTTACATCATTTCAACGGTTTGTTGCAGTCTTAATTTTACTGTATAAACATTTACTGTACAACATGTCATTTTTCCAACCATGCTCTTTCTATATGCAACACAGCACCTTAAATTATGACCTTAAATATTACCAGGTTTGACTCAGACACAGACACATTAAAGTCCAACCATTCAATCTTAATGCAAAGTTTTTACATCAGATGACATATTACTTTACAGAAGCATGTTGGTACCCTGTTAATGGACAAGCAGTTGATGCTGAGTTTCTATCAGTTCCTCCCACACTTCAACACATTTTAAAACAAAGAAAGAAGTAACTAAATGTTAACTGACCTGGTATCGTCGGTGTCTTCTGCAGCCTCGTCGTCAGCGTCCTGCTCCCCGTGTTCAGCCGAGGTGTCGTTAGTGTTGTGGGAGTCCAGAGGGTACTGGATGGGCACAACAGGGCCGTTGTTGTTGTTGGGATGAGACGAATCTGTCTGCTCTGATTTGTGCTCCCCTGGTGAGAGATAAAACAGAGTACACACATTAGGATTTCAATTTCAGGCCTGGATGGATGGATAATCTTTTAAAACATCAATGAAAACCTGTGAAAAACAAGAAGCTCATAGTCTGAGTACTTCAGGTTTTTTTTGTTTTTTTTTTTTTTTTGCTGTGGCTTTACAGAGAGAGAGAGAGACACTGTCATCTTTATTTTCCTGGATCGTGCAGACAGATGCAGAAGGTTTCAGAGCTGAAGTGTGCTGCACTTCAGCACAATTTCCAATTAGTCTGCTCCCTCTGTAGTGAGCCCCATTTGTGGAGAGGACTGTCGGATGTCTCACAGGAACTTTAAATCCTTCTGACTCTGCTGTGCGTGAAGACACTTAGTTCTCAGCTACTTTAGAGGAGATGTAAGCAGAAATAATGTTCACTTTAATGATTAAGCGCTCTGTGTGTGCGCGTCCATGTGTGAGATGAGAGAGAGAAAATATATTTCATGCCGTCTTTATTGTGCTTATCCTTTCACATTTATCGTTCAATTAAAAGCCCAATGCATCTGCACCTGCGCTCACTCCTGTCCTACTGTTAGTAGTAACATCTTTGACTGACTGCTTTCAGAAACTGGAAATGATCATGTTTTTGACAAATGGTTGGGTGTAATGACCACTGCAGCAGCATTCACAGAGACTGGATTTGTTGGACCAGAGAGATCTACAAGATCAAATTAGGTTTAACTACCAAACTGCTGCTGGATTTTTGAGGCACATAAGTTTAAAGTTACAAGAATTTAAACCAAAAAGATTCTGATAATAACATATTAGTCAATATCTGTTTCTTGACATGAAATATTTTTGATAAAAATCACTTAAATTTTATTTCTAAGTTTTGTTGTGTGGACATCATGTACAAAGCAGGACATTTTACATAAACTTCTAAAAACAAAACTAATAGAAACCACAGCAATAACGTTAAATGTAGCACTCTATGATGTGGGCATGCCTGTATAATGACAAATACATTTTCAATAATTAAGGAAAAAAATAGCTACAAATGACTAATAAATTTACATATTATTTTATCTTTCATTCCTTTCTTCCTTTCTTTGTACTGTTCATGAAAGCTTTAAGAAAGCCATTTCCAAACATTAAAGCTACAGTTGGTAACTTTTTTTAAGATACATTTTTTCATACATGCTGAAACTCTCACTACATTCACACAGCACAAAATGAGACACTTGATAATAACTGTGGTCAGACTGTCAAACGAGGCAGCACTGACCACATATGAATCAAGATTCTCTTGCTGCATTGTCTGTTTCTAACCTCAAATATTTTCAGAAACATATTTTAGTGTACTGTTTAGCTGTAAAATGAGAAAGTTTGTGACCCGGTTGCCACGTTGGATACAGTTAAATAGGAGTACTAAGCACCGCCCACCAGCTGGACTAACTTTCTCATTTTACAGCTAAACAGTATACTAAAATATGTTTGTGGAAACATTTAAAGTGACACACAGGCAATGCAGTAAAAGAATCTTGATTCATATTGATCAGCGCTGCCTAGTTTGACACTTTCGTTGACAGAACAATATGACTGACAACTGAGAGACTCCTCAGCCCTGATTGGTTGTTGCTGACTGTACTGTGGTCTGATTTTAACGCATACCATTCGAGGCAGCAAGAAGAGGAAGAGAACGTGATTTTCTTTACAGACAGATCTGTCTCACGTACTTGTGTGAGAATATAGTGACAGTTTCAGCAAATATGACAAAAAGTTATTTTCATAAAAGTTACCAACTCTAGCTTTAACTATATCAGCACAATGAACTCCTGATGAACCCTGAGAAATGAGGCCTTTCACTTTCAACAAAACAAAGTCATGTTCTGATATCTGTTAAACAGGACTGAGGCATTAATGGATTCACTGTAACAGGGGACTGAAATTTTCATTTCCACTTGTCTATTTTTAGGTGACTGAAATTCTTCAATATTAGAATCTTGCTGAGCTCATAATACAGGTAACGCTGACGACATTAGAGAGCAGAAGTGTGTGTGAGTGCGTGAGTGTGTGTGTGTACTGTATGTTTCTCTAGATGTTGTGTTTTCTCTGCAGAGCATTATTTGGTACCTTGTGCATCGGCATTCTCCGTCTTCTTCCCCAAATCCTTCTTGAACATCCTTTTCAACTGCAGGAGACACACACACACACACACACACACACACACACACAGACACACACAGACACACACAGAGAGACACACACAGAGTGAGGGTTTGAAGATGATCAAAAATGCTTCACCGTTTACAACTACTGACAGTCCCTGTGATACCACGGAATATCAAACATTTGAGGATAACATTCTTAAAATACACCAGGCACCGTGATAATCTCCTTTTAATCACTGTCTCATGTAGAACAGCTGATTTTAAGTGTTTATAAGCTCCTGCAGGGATAAAAACCTGATCAACCCACATTTTAAAACAGATAACAAGTGCCTCATATACTGTGATAGAGCTGACACATATGAACAAAAAAAAAATCCTTATCCTCACCTTTCTGGCCACGGGGTCTTCAGGCAGGACAGGGGCACCCTCAGGTCCTTCACAGGTGATGCGTGTGGCGTCTCCCTTGGCAGGGAAAACATATAGGGCCCTCTCTCCCAGCTGCCTCTGGGTGTGGTCGTAGTAACCCAAACGCCTCACCCTAAACCCAACCAGCGTAGTAAGGTTACAACAAGATACAGATTCAGTTTGTGTCTATTGTGCCTACATAAACCTGTGTGAGGACACACAGATGAGACTGACCTGCAGAGATTTTCCTGTGTGATGGTGGAGGGAGGTGGATAGACGCTGTCCGAACCTTTGGGAGAGTAGCTCTTTGTGATCCACGTCACCTTCAGTTCAACCACTTTTACCTGAGGAGAGCACGATGACACCATGGAGACAATTTAAGATACACGATCACATGTAAACCACTGATTTATCCAGGTATATAATCCAGTACAGAGAAAATGGACAGGACAGTCATTGTCATCTCACCTCTTCTACCACCACCCTGAACTTGCACTTTCTGCTGAGGACAGGTTTGACCCCCGACAGCCACTGTACATTAGAGAAGACTTTGGCTGGACCAATCAGAACCTGGCCTGGGTAGAAACCATACGCCTCATCGAAGAACAGGCCCTGAAGAACAAACACAGTTCTCATTTTACAGCTAAACAGTACACTAAAATATACATCTGAGCTGAGAAATATGCAATGCAGTAACAGAATCTTGATTCATATTTGATCAGCACTGCCTCATTTGACAGTTTGTCTGCAGTTCACAGAGCGATATCATTGGCAACTGTATTCATCAGCATATCTTTCGAACACACAGTAACAAAGATGCAACATGACTAAAGAACCAGACATGATGATTTATCAGCTGTACGATAATGTGTAATATATGTAATATACACAACTTAAACTCCCATTATAGTTAAGTTACACAAATATTATGTATTGCAATACAACATATCAATTTTTTTGCCATTTCATGCACAATAAAGTTAAAAAAAAAGGCAACATGTTAAAAAAAAAAAAAAAGAAAACAGGTCCAAACAGTGCAATTTTAGTCTTTTTTTCCTTCGCTATTTCTAAAAGTTATTCGCTACTGGGCTATAGAACTTTCTGTAAAACTCAAATCTAAAATGCCATTAATAAGATTTGGAGAGGACATGGTGCACCACCAACATGTCAAGAAAACTAAACATTACTTTCTGTTAAAAAAAAGAAAAGAAAAGAAAAACAGTCTAAAATGCAAACTAGAAATAATTTTAAAATTCTAAATGATCGTTTTCTGGAAAGGGGCCACAACAATGAGTGTAAACACAGAATACAAATAAGAAGTATTTACAGACCATGAGCCAGCTTTTTGTTAAAGGATCTGACCCCTGACTAACAGCTGCTCTGCACAGGGTGGATGAACCTGAGGTGACAGATAAGCACTCATGGCTACATACCGAATCGCTGACATGTGGACAGACGTCGTAAAGCTTGGCACCGTCCTCCACACTCATGGAGCACCTGGAGGGAGGCGAGAGAGGGAGAGACGACTGGTTGACGTTCACTGGGTTTGGCACTGATGAATGTGTGCCAGCACGCAGACACACCGACAGACATGCTGACAGGCACGCTGTTAAATCTCTCACACACACACACACACACACACAGAGACAGAGACACACACACACACACACACACACACACACACACACACACACACACACACACACAATCTACCTGGCTCCATTGGAGAGCTTGAGGATGATGTGATTAGTCAAGTCATACACTTTCCCCAGCCAGAAGTCGTAGGCAATGTAGTCACCGTACATAAAAGACTAGAAAGAACACGACAATAAGAAAAATATTTTAATTTACATTTATCAAACATTGCTTGTGACACAATAACTATGAGGGTGCACAGTAATCACTCACAGATCTGGGTCTTTTTCCTCAAGACTGACGGACCAACTGCCAGGACTACATATTTAACACTGTGCTGTTGTATGTTAACAGACACAATAGACTGCTTGGACTGTAATACTCTTGAGTATAAAGTATGAAGTCTTAAGTTGCAGAGTTTTAACCTTGCTATTACCATATATCTAGTTCCACCCTATTATCAACAACAACTGAAGTACCATATACAGATTTGAGTACTAAACATACCATGAGATTAGGGGTGGGAATCTCTAGGCACCTCATGATTAAATTCCAATACAGAGGACTACATTTGACTACTTGCTTCTTTTAAAACAGTTACAAGAAGTTAGTTTTTCTTCATTATTTTCCATTTATAGCAATGAGTAAGGAACATTGACACGATACACATGATTAACACCCATTACATGTCACCATCAAATTTTCTGTTCAATTGTAAGAAAAATAACGTTCAGTCTTACAAAAGCAACTGATCATTTTGTGTCATCAGATGATTTCGTTCACACACACACACACACACTTCTTACCTTTATTAAACAACAGGCTGTGCAATTTTTTTTATCAAATTTATAATATCTGTTAATGCTAAATGTGTGTAATTAAAATTATTACTTGTTGTATCTGAGAGAGAAATTTGCTAATTCTCTATTTTATGCTATGTTCCAAATAATTTCCTAGTAAATGGTCCTAGAAAGAACTATACAGTTTGGGTTTAATTATCAGAAAAAAAATGGCTCCATGTCAGCACAGGGACCATCATCGGGCATTTGTTACTGTTGCTGCACTGAAACATAGTTTGTCACGACATTTACCTTAAGCGCTGACAGTATGTGGAAGCTGCATTTTGTTACTTTGACTCATTACTGAGTGCCTGTATGTACACATGTGTGCAAATATTAGAGATGCACTGATCTGATACTGATACCGGATATGAAGCCGATACAGACTTGAGTATCAGTGAGAATAGAGCTGATCTGTTCATTTCAATTCTACATTTACATCTGATTACACATGCATGTACTATGTCATGCATCAGCAGCATTGTGTTCTCATTTTATGCAGCTGTGTGTTTTCATACGGGAATTCCAAGTCTCTATTTCGGTTCATTTATATCTGTGTGTTTATCTTTGCTGATTATGTTTTACTCTAAAAAGTTAGCAAAGCAGTTTTTAACTCAAACTTGGTGTCGACTTACATGTAAAAGAATGATCTCAGTGATTCCACACAGCGAGGCATACAGCTTATTAATTAAACACTAGTTTCAGATCAGTACTCTGTATCAGCTGATACCCAAAGACCAGGTATCTGGACGGAAAAGTCAGATTGGTGCATCCTGAGCAAATACACTTCTTATGTATAAGTAAAAATATAATTAGTTCCACATAAGATGGGTCTTATACGAGATTTACCTGGAAATGTCTTAGGAAATTACAGACGTGTTAAGTGAAGCGTTATCGTCAATATATTTAAAGGTCCTGCGTACATGTGTTAAGGCCCTTTGGTAAAGTGTCTTACCCAGATGTGCTGCAGGTCTTTGCTGTTGACTGGATACAGAACACAGTTTGTTCCCACCAGCTTCACTGCACACTCGATGTCAATGTTGGTCACAATACCACACTGGTTGTCCTGTAATGCAGCAAATACAAATTCAGCATATAGTAATATCAATTATCATCACTGCTACAGTCTCCTGTTTATCAACAGGAAAACCTGAGTATTGATTGTAAGCGTTTCCTGTGGTCCACCTGCACCACTTCTTTGATGGTACGTGAACAAGAACACCTGAATTTCAACCAAAAGAAAAAGTGTTGCATTTGTATTCAGCCTGGGAGTAGTCGCACTGCGCTGACACAGAAAGTCTCCTCTTAGGTCCTTTGTCGGTGTCGACCTGCAGTAATATTCCAGTCATGTCTGATGCAGCAAATGGAACAGAGCGGTGAACAGTGACATGACTGACAAAGACAGAGACTTGATTGAAAGAAAGCTCGAAATAACAAGACAGAATGAGAGAGGCGAAGCGAAAAGGGAGAGCTATAGATGAAGGAAAAAAACTTCACTTACATTAGAGTTGTTTCGTCGCACGATGTCTCTAATGACGATGGATCGATCTTCAAGTTTCAGCTGCAAAACAAAGGGCAAACAAGTTTAGAAAATGGAGGTTGACACAGCTGGGTGACCTCATCTTTCAGATATCTCACACCGACAGAAGCTGCTGCTGGCTGTCGGTCACTGAAATTGGATCATCATTTTTCTTATGATAACTGCAGAGGAGAACTCCTCACTTCAGTGACCCTGAGATGAACCGTGGAGAAGAACTTCCAAATTAACTGCATATAAATCACATTCACACTTAGTCCATTACAACATTACTGATGTGATTTGTCACAGCCTCGTCTTGTCCCCTGCGCTCTCAGCCATGAAGACTGCAACATGCACAGTCAGCAGAGCTGGAACACCCCCTGAGACAAGATAAAATTATTTTGCCATCCAAACAGAGACACATTTCACTGAGCTGGCCAACACAAGCCTCTGGTGTGAGAACACTGAAGGAGTCAGCAAACATATTATCACTATCAATTATTAATCAACACAGCGATATAAAAATAGGACCTGCAACAACATGGTTTACAACTACTGAACCCACAGCTTGATGGACAGATGGAGGCAAAACAGCATTGATCAAGAGCTACAAGCCTGCAGAGACACAGGGTAGAAAACAGGAGGTGCTGGGCTGAACTTGGCACAAGCTCAGCTCCCAGAGTCGCAGTGGGAATTCTTGTTCCCGTGAGCAAGTTTTGCTGTGTCACTATGCTTGTTAATGGTCATTCAGACCAAAAATAGCTCTGAATTAAAAAGGCGTTGGTAGGGCCATGTTGCTTCAGGCACCAGTGAGGTGTTAAATACTGTACGATCCAGGAGGGCCAGTCTGAGTACTAGATCCATGAGTTTGGAGGTTCATCAGATAGCAAAATACTGAACAGTATTTTATAACTATAGTATGAGACAGGCTTTTTATCATTGTATCCTCTACTGCAACAATATCATGGTAAACATCAGAATCTATGACGAGGTTACAAAGCAATCTACCTGAAACTGCTAAATGACGTTACATTGCGTTGCAAAAGTTGACAAATGGACCTTTCAGACACAACGCGACAGCAGCACCACTTCACTCTGAAACCACAGACAGTATAAATAATGGATGTAGCTACCATGACGCCACCCATCGGTCTGTGGACTCCCATTTTGAAGCCTTGAGTTCAGCATTTTGTCTGTTACCATCTTAGGTTTTTGGAGCCAGAAGTGACAATATTTGGATAAGAGGGAGGAGCTGTGGAAGAGCGAGGAGTGGGAGATCTGACTGAGAAATCAAGGACGCTATCGGCAGACAGCCTGTCACTCAAAGTGGCCACGCCTTAAATTATGCATAACTTTAAACCTCGATAAAATGTAAACAGTTGACAGTGGACTGGCTGCTAGAGTCAGCCTCAAGTGGCCGTTCAAAGAACCTCAGTTTTTGGCATTTCTGTTTTCGCTTCTTTTGTCAGCCTTGGAGGTTGCCGCTTGTCTGAAACCCATTATTACCAAAGGCTTACGCTATGATGGCTTTTTGCCGTGTGGAGCAAGGCATGTGCACCGCTCAGCAAGCCGCTTGGTGAGCTCAATAGGGTGAGCTTTGGGTGCTGTAGTGTGTGTGCTAGGGTTGGGCGATTGGACGATTACATATTTGTTATCAGCAATAGGCTGAGCATGTTGCTGGTTCTTATGTTTGGATGATTTCTGTCATCTTATCTTGCTGATTTAATGGTCTGCCTCCAAAGAACAAGTGAGAGCCAGTGATCAGTGGGCAGAGAGAGAGACAATAGGGATAACCAGAGCGCAGATCAGCATATTTTTGCATCTTAATCAAAGAATTACTTAATAATACAAGATTATATCAACCTAACCAGACATAGTGATTGTTGGAACAGTGGAAAGATGCTAACCAGGATGGGATTGGTGGGTTTTGTTTTGTTCCAGTTAAATTGAATGAAGCATGTTTCACCATGAGTTAACAAGGCAGTTAAGCCAGTCTCAGTTCTGTGAAAAAGAGAAACTTGAATTCTAAAAGGTGTACAATTGTATTTTTCTGTTTCTGCCTGTTTTCTTTGAGTTAATTTTGTATATTTATTTGACTAAAAAGCTAGGAGAGCTTGTGGAACATGACAAACCATTGCTGGGCTGACAGTGGCCAGTTGGAAAATTTTAACATATTGGCCATCCCTTATTATGCACTGAACCCAGCAGGGAGCACAGCGAGAACCAAATTAATGGCCAAATGAATCTCACTGGCCTCACTGAAGAGAGTGATAGTCTGCATTTTTTTTCCATGAACAATGTTGTCTGTCTCAACACAGCATAAAACACAACTTTAGTTGAAACGCACTGGGCATAAGTGAATTAAATTGTTCCTCAGAAACATAAAGCACCAAGAGTAGTAACTAATTTGACAAAAAGTATTAACTCAAGGTCCATAAACCAGCTTTCTCTGGGACTTTCAACCAAATATCATATTCTTCCGAGAGGATGGATACTTAAAACCAGAAAAACATTATCACAACCAGCTTCATACTTTAATCAATTGGGTCCCTCACACTGTTTTCTGCCAGCGCTTGAACAGATTTGGTAATTTCACATGAGAGAGTTATACTGCAAAGTATAAAAAAAGAGTTTATGAAAAGTTGTTGAACAAATAGACCAGAAGAAAACAAGGCAGTGTGTGTGTGTGTGTGTGTGTGTGTGTGTGTGTGTGTGGTTTTTTCACTTTAAAGCAAGAGAGATGTGAGTGAAAGTAACTTTATACTGAAATAAATTATTTTGAGACTAATCAGTTAAACATTTACTGTATATATTATGTCTTTTTTATACTACATTGGCAACCAAGTTACACAAGGTATAGTTCTTTAAGGCCTGGACCTGGATGTAAGACATTTATTCAGCAGCCTTCACAATGTCAACATCGACTGCCACATATTGATTTGCTTTTTTTGTTTTACTATATAAAATGGGTAAAATCTTATCTCATTGTAGAGCTGCACTCAGCCCCTCTTTGCCCCGCTCTCTCTCTGCTCTGAGCTGAGGACCATTGGTGAGACCATCTGTCATCCAAAGCTTTGAATATTCACTTTCAATTACAGCTAAAGCTCCGGAGTCCAAAAATGATTATCAGGACGGCCAGACACCTGGTAACTTTCAAACCTCAGACTAACCGAACAATTACCACCACCTGCAGAAACTGAAACTTCATCTACAGAAGATTGTAGATTACCACAAAAGTCACTGAGAAAGCATCACCAAGCTGACAGAATGCCAAATCAGCTCATTCTAGTGTGTGTCTATGTTATATTTACAGGTCGGTGTGGCATAAAGTCAACAATAGTTAATAAAACAGCTCCATGAACTGCTTATAAGATGCTAGGTGTACCTGTGGGAGGCTTCTACTCTGTGAGTGACAGCACGAGCTGCTCTACTGGCAGAAAGTACACAGCAAAGTGGCAGCGAACTGCCAGCAAGAGCCTCTGAGTTTAGGCACAGACAGATGGAGGTAGAGGAGGAGAATGTAATTAGGAGTAAAGAGAGCGAAGAAATTAAAAACACGGAGACCTGCTGCATGTTAAGTAATGACTGGGGGGGCAGAGAGTTTGTTATCTTGGATTGTAACGGTGCTGTATGAGCACATAAACAGGGAATATTGTATAGCACATACTATACTTGTGAGGACGATTAATTCAATACATTGTATTCACTACTTAGTTTTCAAATATAAACCAAATATATATTTTTCTTCCCTGGTCTTATTCTTATAATCGTGGCCATTCTGACAATGGGTCATGTAAAATTTGCCCTTGTACACCTGCACTGTAGAGATTCAGGAAACAAGGCGCCATTTGGCGGCAAGATGATGTATATTAGAAAAAGATATTAGATGTAGATTCGAGTGCAAGTTTCCTAAAGCTTTGAGCTTAACTTATATTTTACACATGTACACTTGTCTCAGAGACTGAGCAAAACAAAACACAGAGGGGAACCCAACGGTTTAGCTCCTGTAGCTAACTACATAGAGATCTATTTCCAGGGCAGCGGAGATGACAAGTCTGAAGTTAGCATGACCCACAGTCAGACTGGCCACAATTAAAAAAATAAGATACAGATTGAAAAATACAAGAACTTCACTTTAGAGGAGCTTTACAAGAAATTCAGAGTAGCTGTCGTTGTCTGGACACGACAGCTAACAGCTACCTAGCTAGCTAGCAGGTAACGGTGCAAACTCCATTAACAGAGCTAAATACTGGCAACAGTGCTGACAGAGCTAACGGTGTTAACCAGGGTGGAACTGGAGGGTGGGTGATATGCTTACACAACAACATCGTCCAGATATGAGTGGTATCTGCTGCATTAGCGTAGTGCCGAGTGGAGGTGATGAGCTACCCAGTGGGATACACACATGTGCTAACATACTAACAGTCGAACCGACTTACTACAACAAACTAGTGTTGTCATATCTTAAAATAAAATCAATATCTGATACCATTTTTAATACCATTGGTGAAAAATTGACATTGAGGGCATAGAAGTTGAAGTTTTTATTAAAAGATAACAAGGCTATAACATGACGACAACTTCTCTTTTCTTGGTTTGTAGCCAAGAACAGCAGAGTGACCGTCATAAACATTAACAATATGAGAAAGCAAGAAAAAGCATCTGGTACCAGTGTATTGATACGGCGAAAAACTAGTATTGAAAGTGTTTCAAATGTTCAGAAATGATAAACCAATGAATTAATATTTTTGACAATACTACAACAAACCACAGAAAAGCTTGGATTACAACACACACAGGGAGTATTACTCCACTGCATCTGTACAAAGCAAATAGTTGTTTGCAGCAATATTAATGCTCTGAAAGTTGCATGAAGAACCTTTAAGTAATATTTAAATCCAAAAATTAAACCTGTCAATTCATATTTTTATGACTGTCCTCCTTTTTTGTGTTAAGATGTCTAAACACACTACTCAGGACAGAAATACCAGCACAAGTGTTTGTGTGTGTGTGTGTGTGTGTGTGTGTGTGTGTGCGTGTGC